GATTGCCGTTGTAAAGATGTGTGATATCATTCACGATAACTGTTGTTTAAATTAACTTNTACGCATTCACCAAAAGAGTTGAAAAAAAAAACAACTCCCTACGTTATTGAGCTACGACATTTTCACAATGGACAATTCAGATTTACGTAATTGTTCATTGTCGCAGTATTTTGCGGTTACAACGATCAAATTTCTTTCAGCACTGTACGTATACGGATCGATATCGTGTACCGAAAGAAAGTGTGGGCAAGACGTACGAGTTTCGCGAACTGAAACTCGATCAGCCAACCCAAAAACGTAAGAAGTTATGCACGAACAAGGCATAACGATACTGAAACTTCGATGATAATAACTCTCAAAGAATCGCAATCTCAGATCGCTTGCGTTTGCCACCTTAAAAAAAAAACAGTTCGTTTGTTGATGTAACACATGAATAATCGTTGTTTTGAGACTGCATTCAAGTATTATGTCAGTGAATAAAATATGGATTTGATTGCCGTTGTAAAGATGTGTGATATCATTCACGATATTTGTTGTTTAAGTTAACTTTGGAGAAGAAAACAAGTGCAAAACATTGTTCGAATGCTCGTCTTCTTCTGTGATGAATTGCTCAATCAGTGATGATATATTCGGTTTCTTATGCAGAAAGTAAACTTATCTGCACTATTCCCACTTTAAACAGAAACAGTTCGTTTATTGATGGAAGGAACACGTAGACATTCGTTGTTTTGAAAATGCATTTAAATCTTATATCAGTGTGCATTAGACTTAGCGTATTTTCCACATGATCACACTTATGCATTTGACTGCCGTTGTAAACGAACTGTTTCTGTTTAAAGTGGAAACTATCAGTGGAGCAAACTAGACTGTAGTTGTGTTAGACGTGGAAAGTAGATATAAACCATGATCACTGCTACAAGTTCGAATGCTCCAGTACAAATGAATGACGAAATTATAAGATTGCGTCCAGGGATATACACTCTTTTCAGAAACTAGGAGTAAATCATCTCGTGCAAGGCGCATATCATGAAATATCACGATTTTGAAAAGATTGTGGACACAGGTGACCTCAAACTGACATATGTGATGACTATATTTAGTGGTAATGTGATCAGTGGAGCAAACTACTGGTTCTGCATGAAGCCCTACTTGGAGCATTCGAACTTTTCGCTTAGGAACATATATAGGAACATATGTACTTCTCAGAAACTAGAAGTCATTATCTGTATGACTGATTTCTAGAAATATCACGATGCCGAAAAGAATGGCGATAAGGTGACTTAAAACTGACACATGTGATGAGCAGAATTAATGCTAGTGTGATTATATGGAGTAAACTGCTATTTACTGAAGAAGTATTTGAAGACTCGTTTACGACTGAAAATATATCGATGAGATGAAATGCGAACGAACTGAAAAGTTTCATCACCAGTTAGTTATGTTGTTCTAATTGTGTAGATGCAGCATAATGTTCGAGCGCTTTGTCTTTCATGTTGTATTATTGCTTTTCGCATTTTTTACTCGGCAATAAATTATTTATACACTCATTCATCGATCAAATGAAGAAGAGGGTTAGATGAAACTTGTATAAAATTGTCAAATTCTTAGTGTCATTAATGAATATCCAGTGTCAGTAACTAACATAAGGTTGGTTGCTTATTGTTCGATAAATAACTGAAAGGGAACCAGAGAATAATACATAGTGAATCACGCTGAAAGCTGAATTCATTTTCTTTTCAGTTGTTTGAGCGTAAACATGCTTCCATTTATTTTATGATTCATGCCGTTGTTAGAACCTTTCATATCGCTTGTTTTCATTCAACTGATGATGAATTTGTTNGTTGATTCAGAAAACCGTATTGAAATTGGCAATCTGTGATTCGGTATAATTTACTTAAAATTGCGGTTGATAATTCATTCGAGTGTACTGAACTCATTATCAGTTATAGTTTTGTTCATCCCAGAATACTATCTAACAATAAGAAAGTGATTGCAAAGTTAAAATTCCCGATTAAATAATAATTTCTTGATCCATTGGAGGTAATCTTAAAGGATCTGAAAGATCCGAAACAGCTCATAAATATAATTATGCGATCAGTTCTTTGGATCATTCGTTAGTTGGATTTTGGGCAACATTATTGATGCAAGTGGTATTCACGTCAAATACTGCTCTAGTGATCGATTGCTTACGCAATAATCGAAAAAAGGTTTCAATGGTGCGTCAATGATACGTGATGTATAATGATTCACGCTCGTGGTGAATTTCACATGATATTAGGAATGCAGTGATTTGTAGATCAAATCTAATGATATCATACCTCGCTATCAATATGATGATGAGTCAGTCTCGAAAATAAATCGAAAATTATGTCATAAGTGATTTAAGATGATGTGATAAGTAACGTGTCAAAGAATAAAGGAATCAAATTTTTTGAATGCGATATTATTAATCAATTACATACAATAGCTATATGTAGAGTGTTTTTGAAATCAAGAAAGTGTTTCAAATACGAAACATCACTTTTTGTTGAGAAAAACAAACCAATGAATTAATCGTTCTGTTATTGTTTTTATCGACATGATACCATACCTGATTGACATCAGTTATTTACAGTCTCAAAACTAGTTGTGGTGAAATTGCGCAGCTACACTTATTTAAATACCGAACATCAGACTTATTCTGTCGGCAAAACTAAAATTTCACGTTATTCAAATATCATTCACATTATTCATATTAGTCCACGTTATTCAAACATACTCAAACATTTCACGTTGCATCTCTATTTTCATGGTCACTTCCTCTCTGCCGTGATCAACGTAATCTTCTGATAGGATCATATTGTATAAGCTTTAACGGTGGTATCCTGATAATACTTTTTCGAAGGAGAAGTTTTGATCAGCAGTCTTGTGAAGTTTAGATCAGTGTACGATTTGTTTTATTTCTGATTATTTATTCAACGAATTCCTTTTGAAATGTTTTGATTGTAGACGTTACGGGCAGTTCAGGGATTGAATCAGAGTGGATATTACATAAACAACAATAAGTTAAGACCAGCATTACAGACCATTATTTTGTGATCCAAATAAGTGGAATTCCGAAAATTAGTTGCTGAAAGAAACCTCATTTCTGAAGTCTTTACAACTCCTGCTCAACATCGGCATTTAGTCATCTTCGAGAAATTCAGTCATTTTGTCTAATGCATGTTGAATATGGAGAAGTACTATAATCATACTTTTTTTTGACGTTTGAAGGACACTTTCGAAAGGCGATTGAGTGTTCCATGTATTACTCAACGGGATCGTTCAGTGATTCTTTCATTTTCTTGTGTTCTGTTGACTGAACTTTGGCGATAACCATTGCTCGAAGTGATCACTTGTCTTTTTGTGCGCTTACAAATTTTCAGCACAGTATCCATTATAACAATAAGTCAATTCAAAATTCGCACGAACCCATTATAAGAACAAATCGAAAATTTTTATACTTTCAATTCCCACGTCTTCACGGAAAGTAATTCAATGAGCTTCACTGAAACTTGTTGACAATTACTGGGCCTTAAGTCCAGTGAAAACAAAACAAAACAAACTGTTTCCATAAAGCCTCGAATAAAATTTAGACGATTGAGTGGTTTTAATCATGACGCACTTGTGTATATACTCAGAACCGGTTACCAGCGAATTCTCATCAAAGAGATGTGAACGAAAAACTGATTACTATCTCGCAAAATATATTTCAATTAACCGCATCAACTCTTTCGTGTTCCTCTCCCTCGCAGCTTTTTCAACGTTTTTCATCACTCTTCTTTTCCAGAATCCATTCACTGATTCCGTTCATTCATTTTCAGATGAAATTATTCGCAATTACAACGCCTCTCCAAATTTCTAACCGATTCATTGATTGCATTCCTTTACTCTCAAGCGCCCAAAGCTCCCACAAACGAACAGCGTTTTATTTGGACTATATTGATAAAAGGTTCCATTTTCAGTACAAAGAAAAATGTACAAATTGACATTACTGGCCGCAATTGTGGCGTTTGCCGAGGCTGGATGGATAGGTACCATGCAACATGTGACGGTGAAAGGACAACTTGCGTGTGGCCAAAAATCGGTTAAAAACGTTAAAGTGGAATTATGGGAGGAGGATTCATGTAAGTGAATTGTTTTGCTTTGAATACGGTGATTTGAAAATGCTTTACGCATCAATCTGAGAACATTTGAACAACGCCAGTCACTGAATCGGTGATCAACTGTAAAAATCTTCAAACTAATCAACTCAAACTTGATTCACACTCCAACAACAATGACTGAGTTCATGTCGCTTGGCTAGCCGTATAAGTTTCAGTTTTATGATTTTTTTGATGTGCATTATGTGGAATTGTTGGTTGACAGTAATGTTCTGAGTGTGTAGGTTAATAATGTTTAATGCGGATGGTGAATGAAATGATGAATTTAAGTTGGACCAGATGATCTTCTGAATACAACGACGTCGGACAATAAGGGTTACTTCAGCATTTATGGCCAAGAGAAAGAAATCTCCGTCGAGCCTTACCTAATTGTTTATCATAACTGTGATGGCGGTATTATCAACGAGGTTTGTTGTCACTTACACCTACGAATTTAACATGGTTCGAGGAGAATTTTTGCCTTGCTTAAGTGATTGTCGATAGATTGTTCGGATTGATAATTGAATAACAACTTCGTGAACTGACGAAAATGTTTCGTTTACACAGAATAACAATTTGACTGCTTACCAATTAAAGATACTTTATTCATTTCATGGTATTTCGCTTCAGTTTACATTTACTTATAGCTTCAAGCAATATTTCTTATAACTTTTGACAAAATCAAATGAGTAAATTTTGAGCATTTTCATCAACAGTCACTTCAGTAAATATTTAACAACAAATAAATATTTTTAACAAATTCAATGAACATTTAACAAATTAGGGTCAATTTATCGAATTGAAGTAATTTTTATTTACTCATCAAAGGTGACAAAATTACACCGAAGACGATAGTGTATTGTGAATGAATTAAGAATTGTCTTTCAGAAATGTGAAGTAACCGATGAATTCACTGTTCCGAAGGATAAAATCGATGGTATTTATGAGATGGGTATAGTAAGCTTGAATGTTGAACGTAGAAATCACAAGAAAACTTGTCAATAAAAATTTTGTTTCATGTGCATTGTATGACCGTTGAATATGCAGAAAGTCTGGCAGTACTGTATCGATGAAAGCGTGATGTTTTTGAACGAGATATTGCTCGCTGAGTTCAGGGAATCGGTTATAGTTTGTCTTGAAAGACGATTCATGAAATGGAATTGTGAGCGTCTTTCCAGGAAGTCTTCTATTCATTTTCATCGACCATTTCGTGTATCCTTTCTTGCTCGAACACTCGCTAATTGTACCGTATTCTCCCAATTTTCATTCGCAGCATCATTGTCAACAATGCAATCCACATTCCTCGCACATATTCACTTTCTCCATTTCGTTTTCACTTCAATTTTATGTTTTGAAACTTTCAAATCAAAATTTCTATGTAATAAAAGTTTTTAAAATTATTCGCTTCTTATTTTAATATATTCATTAAAGCACTGCTCAGAAAACAGAACGAGAAGCACAAACATGTGTATAAATGAGCAAATTGGTTGAACTAAACGGCAACATCATCCATCAATAAATACTTCAACTCTGAAAGCATACTAACAAGAGATGATAGAAGCGATGATTCATCCATAAATCGCTATTGTTGTATAAATCGAAAGTGCTTCTCGTGACTGAATGGTGGTGCTTTGTCGATAATTTATTTCGATGTGCTTTTTCTACTGAACAATCGCTGTTGGATTAAAGATGGTCGAACAAGAACATTAAATGCTCTTTGTACGTGTCTATAGTGGTGTTAGCAACAGTTGGAGAGATAAAAAGCAGATGAGACCATTCAATGCTGTGTTATCAGGCCACCATCGGATATCTCTTTCGGAGCTTTAGATGTTTGCTTCGAATGTCTGAATAGTACAGTCGTGATGCTGTTTTCGTTATTTGGTTATAAGTGCAATTCACCTTTAGCTTACAAACAACAGTGTTTTCTTACGAATGAAAGTCAACGTTTTCGCTGTAATGATTGCTGCTGATAAGGTTGTTCACAAAAATGTTCCCATTGATGAAGCTCTACTGCTGCTGCTAAAAATTGTTCATCCTATACCAATGCCGTTCTGGTTTCACAAGTTTTCCGATTTTTGTTTCCGGCTTCAACTGATTGAGAAATAATGGAATCGATTGAGAAATAATGAATGTGAAAAATAAATTATTTTTTTGAACATATTTCATTGCTTACGTATGGCAAATTTTAATCTTCTAGTGTCACGAAGATATTTGTGATAAAGAGTTTGCCAGATGTTCGTGCATTTCATCTCTTAGCAACGACTTTTCAGCACTTCTTTCATCCTGCATCATATAAAATCTTGAAAGTTACGTTATGCCATCCGAAATCAGTTTCCTTCCCAATCGGCTTAAATCGCTTCCACAGTTGTGCACTTAACTCGACGTTTAGTCATCAATGCAACTTCTTGACGCAGACGATTGAATAGGAATACGATAGAAAAACCCGATCTTCCAACAAAATTCAACACGTTGTGTCGCAGCATTCGTTCGTAATTTAATCTCAATCGACTGATAATCGGTTTTTAGAAACATTTCAGTGTTCATGATGAAGGAACTATTCGGAATTTTCTTCATTTTACTGCTGACGTTGATTGGTGTCAATGCTCTTGGCAGCTTCAAAAACGTTACAGTAACGGGACAACTCGGATGTGGTGATCGTTCAGCTGCGGACGTTACAGTTGAGCTTTGGGAGAAAGATACGGGTAAATTTTATGGTTTTATGAGTGATGCTTTGTATGGAATTTATTAAAAATAATTACTCAGAAGAAGCGCATAAAAACGTGAAGGCAGTGGCAATTGGTAGTAGGAAATTCACACACTGATTCATTTGTGAGAATGCTGTTGATGGATCAGCATCGATGGAATGGAGGCATTCGTGGAATGTTCGCGATTCTCTCGCGATCCATTATCGAAAACAGCGACGTGTAGATATTCGCGTTATTGTGTACTGTATGTCTCGAAAAATTGGGTGGTAAACTTGAAAAATTCGTTCGATTTCAATCAAATTAAGTCAAATTTTTGCTTCTTCAGCAGATCCAGATGATCTACTGAATACGACAAAGTCAGGTCCGAAAGGATATTTCCGTATTTATGGGCAGGAGAATGAGATCGGTAACATTGAGCCGTATCTGAAAATAATACACCACTGTGTTAATGGCGTCATAGATCCGGTAAGAAAATTTCAACTTTGATGCTGTTTCAAGAATTATAGGTTTGGATGATAGTTGCATCCTAAAATTAAGAATAAATCTCAACAATTTATTGAGGTCGAAAAAAATCTAAATTAGTAAGCATTTGTTCCACTTTCGTTGCTATATAATCAAAAACCAAATTCAAGCAATATGATATTTTGAGATTTTATTTGGCTTATTATGTGAACTAACAAAAGGATGCTTGAATTGCATTTGGGAATGCATCTGATTACAACAATCCAATGAAATGAATTTCTGAGGACAATAGTGCTGCCTTCGACTGGAAACGATATTGTGCCGAGATGTGCTTTTTGAATTTCAGAAATGCACAGTCTCAGATGAATACGACATCCTGAAGGAACACATCGGTAGAACCTACGATATGGGTATCGTGAGTCTGAATATCGAAAAGAGGCACCATAAGAAACGTTGTGAAAATTGAGTCGATTCAAAAGAACATGTTCATCAGAAAACTACCGAATTTGAGATATTCTTAATACTTAATGAATGTGTGCGATCTGTAACGTGATATTCATCATTTTCAGAGTGTGTATTCATCCAACTCAATAAACATGAAATTGGATAAACTACAGTAAACTACAGTCATATCTTTGAATTCGTAAATATTTTATATCTTTTTTTTGCTGACAATTGTGAGCAATTGCATAGATTTTTAGAAACTTGCATTCGATTCATTTTTGATCCTATTTAGAGTTAGTCATCAGTGGGAGAATAATTCATTTATCATTCATTCACTCTATTGCTCATATTCTTTCAACTCATTATACTCGACGTTTTACAATAATCGTTGGAATGAATAGCGGTGCGAATGCCACTACAAACAATAACATGAAAGGAAAATGATATCGAAAAACTAATTGAGTGTAGTCATTTAACGGAATTCGATAGGCGATTTGAACACCTGAAAATGCGTGGCGTTTTATTCATACAACGAATTTCGCCACCAAACAGGTTCTGATGCCTACAAAAACGATGCATCGAGGACAAGTAATTATTACATCAGTTTTCTGCATGTAACAGTGCTGAATGTAGTGATGATGAACACTGAGTGCAGTAAGAATAATGAAGTGCACTGACCTCCGGCAGCGTATAAAAGTGCGACGATCAGTGAATACGCTATTGGCAAGAAATGCTTTTTCAAATGTTGGTTGCATTTTGTTCCGTCACATTTATTTCGCCTTCTCCAAAATTTGCAACTAAACGTGACCAAAAGATTCTATCATTTCGTCATATGCAATCTCAGTATCATTACACGAACGATGGTGATGAATAATTTTGTGACTAAAGAGCAATTTTTCGAAATGAAATTCATCGAGAAAGGAAACGAAAAAACTCCGTCACTGAATTGAAATTCACAATGTTTTGTCGTGATATTATTTTATGTTATTTATAGAATGCCGTTTTCACCAAATGATTAGGCCGCTGAAAATGATTTGTTTCTGCTGAATGAAAGTCTGAATCAAATGATTTGTCTGGGAGAAGAGTAAAAAAATATTGAGCGTTTGAAATCCTTGCTAACACTTTACTTCAATGTTGTGTCATTGCGCTATGCAAATCGTTAAAAACAGATCCAAATATAGCCAAATAAAATCATTTACGTAATATGAATGTGCCTATTCGCGAACATTTTATTCTGTCGTGTTCATATTCGGATTGCGAAACGATTCGCTTTAATAAATTTTCAATAAACTTTTATGATTCTCCTGGTAATCTCTATTCAGTTTCTCACGTCGTCAAATACATATTGATGCGAAAATATTTAAAAAAAATTAAGAAAAACGAATTAATTACACAGTGTTCGCTATTATCGATGATGCATGACGAAGAGCAAATGATTGTGCTGAACGGGCAGAACTGAAAAGTCGCCATAGTTCCTCGTAGACAATGAAGTTTTAAAGATCAGTGCAGAATTGTGCAAAACTAAAAAATAACACATTCACTGATGGACTGAACTGGATTTAAGTTTCAGTTGAATGCATGCACATCGTATGCGAGATTTTATCGTGATACTTCTACAGAAACAAAATGAAACATCATATTGGAGCGTTTGAAATGTGTGAATGTAAGAATGAACAATTCGTCGATGATTGATACGGATGAATCTCATTGCAACATTCGGGAATCATCTTATGATGATATTCGTCTTTTCTCTTAAACAATGTCAGTACTTCCACTGTACACTTTCTGAACGTTTTCATCAGCTTCGTTCCACCCTGATATATTTTTCCTTTGCCTTATCATGACCAATAATGCGAATATAAAAAATCGTTCCTTCTATTAGCAAAAAACATTGAATGAATGAGACACACTTGTTTGTCGTTGCTTCATCACATATAATAATTCGCCAACGATTCATATGGATGAATCATTCTCCAACATTCCAAAAACTTTCATCAACGAACGCTTTCAGCGAGCCTTTTGATACTTTTTCACCTATTAGTTGCTAAGCATTGCGAAACGTATCCCCGTCCAAAAAAATTTCCAGCCAAATACCCCGAAAAAAGAATTTCTGTTTGCATTACTAATTCGGAACAACTTCAGCGGTATGAACGTTGCTAATATAGATAAATGTTTTGCTTTACGCAGTTCATGCACTGTAATCGTTTCTCTGAATTTTTATGACAATTGTCTGTGCAAAATTCATCAAAACGCTATCAAACGCTCGTCAACAATTCATTCACGATGATGCAACCTTGATGAAAGCGTTCTTGAATTATAAACGTTCATTTTTCACTCATAAACAACGTTCAGTGGTCTATTGTTGTAATGATTTTAAGGCAACATGCTTCAGCAGGCGTTGTTTCTTTCACTGGCAGTAGTCACTGTGAACGCACTCGGAAGCGTGAAAAACATTACCGTAACGGGACAATGTGCTTGCAGCTCGAAAGCTGTAAACGATGCAAAAATCGAGTTGTGGGAACATGATACAGGTACGTACGTTCCTCTGGCAAAAAAAATTTCGTTCGATGAAATTGCTGAAACGTGGCTCCGTTTCTAACAAACGAATGACATCGTAAAATGCGGATTTTCAACCTTCCCGGCCGATTGACTGAGATCAGAGCATTCCATTATATGTGCAGAAGTATTTTGTGAGCATTTTGAGGATGGTGACCAGGGAAGGGATCATGAAAAATGCTAATTCATAGGCTATGAACCATCAATTCATCAACGTTTCCATAGGAATTTGTTCTGAAAGTTATTTTAGCAGAAGAATATGTTTTAAATTTGGTCAACGTTACTCAGACGAGCATTATTTTCACCAAAAAGCACATCTGCTATGACTGGTCAAAGCGTTTGCAAATCCATTACAAAACGTCCCGGTGGCAAAACAAAACGTCACGTTATTCAATTTCCAACCCTTCCAACACTATGATCATTTCAAAAAGCTTTCAAACCTTTTAAAAATCGAAATATTGATAATTTTTCGAATGGTAGGTTAAATGAAGGATCACAACCATCTTACCCCAATTAAAGTCATCACATAATACGGGAAGGAAATGATGATAGTAATGGTAGTGTTTGTAATTCGAGTAATCAGAACGGCTTGCCGTCATCGTTTTACCACCGGAATGTTTTGATGTTCGTTTTTGGCATTAGCACGTTTTGTCACATCCACTGGTGGGCAATATCGAGCTAATCGCTATTTCGCTGCTAGTGGGGCTACTTTTCAGGATAGCACAATGGCCCAGTGCTTTTTTCAAACATCGGAACTTTATTGTAAATTTTATTGCATTATGAGTAAAGGTGATAGTTTCATCAACAATGAGACGGAAATGTGAGTGAGTAAATATACAAGGAACTTGATGTAAAGTTGCCTCTTAAAGGTTGGATCGAGACGCATATATTTGAATGATCCGGTTTAAGCCAATCAAAATGAACTCAACATTAAAAATTTTCCGAGAGAATTGTTGAAATCTGCGTTCAGCTTGAAACAGAAAAGTCCGACACCATCGACAACCGTAACGCAAATTTCGTTTAAGCCGATCCGGATGACCTTTTGAATACAACGAAACCGGTGCAGAAGGGTAGATTCGAGGTGTATGGCGAACAAAGCGAAATCGGTAACATTGAGCCATATCTTCTGATCACGCACAGCTGTGATAACGGACAAATCAATCCGGTGAGTTGCTGCCAAGGGTCCTTTGATAAATCAACCGACGAGAACAACTAACTTCATAAATTTATCACACAAAGATTGTTCAATGCGATAAGAACGCTCAGAAAATTTAGTATTGAATGCAAGTCCTATTCTTACAGGATGAATTCATCTAGCTCGGTTTTGAGAAAATCTTTAGCAACGGATCAGTGCGTTCCGTCTCAGAAATTAAGGATATTTAGTGCTCAGTTAAAATGAAGGCACCCCATCGTGAAGTTACTTTTGTAAATGTTATACCTAAGTACAGCGTTTTACTACCTTTTAAATTCATCATTCTCCTGCAATGTTTTGTTTTCTTTTCAGAAATGCACAATTACCGATCGCTACAATATCCCAAAAGAACACATCGGAGGTACCTATAAGATGGGTATTGTTAGTCTGAATATTGGTAAAAAAGGAAGAAAGAAGAACTGTGTTTAAAATGTTGTAAGGATGGTTCACTGCAGTAGCTTGCCTTCGGAAGTATCACTCCTGGAATGTTCTTTCCTAGATTAATTTCACCTTCGGAATATTTCTCGTTCAAAATAAATGCTTATATTGCGC